GGGGCATCCGCTGAGCCTTTGTTCTCACCGGCGGGGTGGCAGACAGGGGGAACAATGAGTTTCCCCGGTCCATGATTGGATTTGGGAGGAAGTATGAAAAGGTGAAAAGAGGAGCTATTGATGGTATTTGGACCTCGGGGCCTTGTAAACAAGGGGGATCAACAAATACCTAGAAAATKAGTTAATCAATCTTTTTTCCTAAGTTTCTGTTGACCCTTCCYGCCCTAGGCTGTCTGCTCTGAAAGCCAGTTGAGGAAGGGTCAATCCTGCGGCCCATGCAGATGTAGATATGATCAGTTTCGAGAGGACAAAGGATTTCCTCTTTGCAGTAATCTTAGGTCACATTCCTTTTTTKGGGGCGAAGTTCAGAGGGAAAGGCGGGAAGGGGAACCAGGGTGCATTTCATATGATATCCCACTATATACATCTTATATACTTCATACATTTCATAAATGAATCCCCATCCCCATCCCAGCAAAGTTTATTAAAAACAACAAATGCATTCTATTTCTGTAGAAATCATAGTCTTCTTGGTGAAGGCGCATGTAGGCTGAGGCCGCTTGTCCCTCCAGGCAAGCCCGGTCTGAGGTTTGGATCCAAAAGTATGGCAGGGAAACAGTTCAAGGCAATAAGGTGGAAAGTCAATAAGTGAGGGCAAAAGAGTCCGAAGAGGATTTCCGAGCTGTAAATGGTGGGGCAATGTCCTTTGGGAAACTGTATCTCCCCAGTCGGGGCCCGGGACCCATGCCTGGCCCCCTCTCCGGGGCTCCCACGGGCGACCGCCGTGGGTCCCAGGTTGCTGGGTCCAATTGGGAGCGAGCACTGCCGCGGAGGAGCGGAAAGCCCAGCCAAATTGACAATCAGCTGTTTCTCTGCAAGATAAAATACTTAAAACAAAACTAATTTTTCCCCGGGTGAAGGAGCCCAAAACGAGAAAAGGGAAATGRCAGTTAGWCTTAGAATTAGTTGTAGAAAAATATAAAATTGGAACGGCGGCGATCCGCCATCTTAAGTATTTTCGTGGATAAGGGGGTCTGAAATGGCGGTTTCCTTATCCGCGGTCTAGGCGAACGCAGATTCGGGGTCCGGGGGGCGCCTGGAGGCGCCTCCCRCGGGCTCACGGCTCTCCGGAGCCCAAAAAAAGGTCTATTGCAATGTTATTTTGTTTGAGTCAAGAAAGGATACAAAAGTAGCATGCGGAAAGATAAAAAGTTGCAAGTTTCAAGTACTTTTATTAGGGAAAGGATACAAAGTAAAGGGAAGGGGAAAGCAAGGTGAAACTGCAAGCATTCCTGGTTTTGAGCTAGCTGCTGGGGCACATTTCATCTGTTGGTCCCAAAAGCTTGGTCCAGGAACTGCGGAACTCTCCGCTGCAGCTCACACCAATGTGAAGGCGGGGCTCCCCACTGCGCTCGGGCTCACAGTTAGGTTTAGGTTTAGGGTTAGGGTTAGGCATAGGATTACGGTTGGGTTTAGGGTTAGGGTAAGGTTTAGGGTTGGAATTAAGGTTAGGGTTAGGGTTAGGATTAGGGTTAAGCTTAGGGTAAGGTTTATGGTTAGGGCAAGGTTTCAGGTTTGGGTTAGAATTAGGGTTAGGATTAGGGTTTGGGTTATGATTACGGTTGGGTTTAGGGTTAAGGGTTAGGGTAAGGTTTAGGGTTGAAATTAGGGTTAGGGTTAGGGTTAGAGTTAAGCTTTGGGTAAGGTTTAGGGTTAGGGTAAGGTTTAGGGTTTGGTTTAGAATTAGGGTTTGGTTTAGGATTACAGTTAGGTTTAGGGTTAGAATTAGGGTTAGGGTAAGGTTTCAGGTTCGGGTTAGAATTAGGGTTAGGACTAGGGTTAGGGTTAAGGGTTAGGGTAAGGTTTAGGGTTTGGGCTAGAAGTAGGGTAAGGTTTCAGGTTTGGGTTAGAATTAGGGTTAGGATTAGTGTTTGGGTTAGGTTTAGGGTTAAGGGTTAGGATAAGCTTTAGGGTTATGGTTAAGGATAGGGTTTTATCATGAAAGAACTCTGACATTCCTTCTGTAATGTCTGTGTTCTGCTCTGCGTTACGCAAACAGGGCTCCCGAAGTAGCGAAGTGGAAAGAGCGTAAGGCTCAGAGCTGCTTCCGGACCCAGCTCTCATGCCTAATGCTCGAGTAAATATGAGGCATTGTCGAAAGGTTTCATGGCTGGAATCACTGGGTTGTGAGAAGGGTGAAACATTCCCACCTGGCTCCAGCAGACAAGAGTCTTTTGTCCCACCCTGGTCATTCCACAGATCTATAAACCCTTTTTCCTAGTTCCGGTTGCTTCTCTAATCACCTCTCAACAAAAGATTCTCCAGGCACTGCCAGGCCATCAAATGCTAATCAAGGTGGTCAGTTGAAACATTCACACCTAGCTCCAGCAGACAAGAGTCCTTTGTCCCACCCTGGTCATTCCACAGATATATAAACCCATTTTCCTAGTTTCAACAGACCTCACTACCTCTGAGGATGCTTGCCATAGATGCAGGCGAAACGTCAGGAGAGAATGCCTCTGGAACATGGCCTGACAGCCTGAAAAACCTACAACAACTCAAATATGAGGTAATATTGAAGTAAACCCGAAGTAATATTGAAGCGAACCTGAGGTAATATTGGAGTAAAGCTGAGGTAATTTTTGGATGAAGGAAAACAGGTAATTAATGGAGTAAACGTGTTGCAACTTTGAGAGGAACTATGGTGTATTCGACCTTTAGTATATTTCGTGGCCACGCCCCCTTTTGCTGACGTGCACGACGTCATTTTGTGACTCGATGGCGGAGAGGTGGTGATGACGTCACGGGCTAGGCCCAGACGGGGTCACGTGACGAGGGGGAGGGCCGACCAATCCCCTTCGGCATTTCTCTCCGGGAGCGCGCCCCTAGCGGCGAGAGTGCGCCAAAGCAGGCAGACAAGGTCACGTGAACACTGCTCCGCCGATCTCGTACAAATGCCCTTGCGCCGCTTTGCGCACGCGCGGATGAGAGGGGCGAGACGATTATACCAAGAACAAACCGTTCTGGGCATGCGTACATTTAAACTCCCTTAACCTAGTTTGCGCATGCGTGCAAGAAAACCCTTTAGAGAGGCTTTTCCTAGTTTGCGCATGCGTGCAAGAAAACCCCTTAGAGAGGCTTTTCCTAGTTTGCGCATGCGTGCAAGAAAACCCCTTAGAGAGGCTTTTCCTAGTTTGCGCATGCGTGCAAGAAAACACCTCAGAGAGGCTTTTCCTAGTTTGCGCATGCGTGCAAGAAAACCCCTTAGAGAGGCTTTTCCTAGGTTGCGCATGCGTGCAAGAAAACCCCTTAGAGAGGCTTTTCCTAGTTTGCGCATGCGTGCAAGAAAACCCCTTAGAGAGGCTTTTCCTAGTTTGCGCATGCGTGCAAGAAAACCCCTTAGAGAGGCTTTTCCTAGGTTGCGCATGAGTGCAAGGAAACACCTCAGAGAGGCTTTTCTTAGTTTGCGCATGCGTGCAAGGAAACCCCTTAGAGAGGCTTTTCCTAGGTTGCGCATGCGTGCAAGGAAACACCTCAGAGAGGCTTTTCCTAGGTTGCGCATGCGTGCAAGAAAACCCCTTGAGAGGCTTTTCCTAGGTTGCGCATGCGTGCAAGGAAACCCTGAGAGGCTTTTCCTAGGTTGCGCATGCGTGCAAGAAAACCCCTGAGAGAGGCTTTTCCTAGGTTGCGCATGCGTGCAAGAAAACCCCTTAGAGAGGCTTTTCCTAGGTTGCGCATGCGTGCAAGAAAACCCCCTCAGAGAGGCTTTTTCCTAGGTTGCGCATGCGTACACAGAAAAAGCGAGTTCGAATCTTCTGCGGCTGCGCAGTACCGCCCTTTCCATTCTTTCCCCTTCAAGCCCCGCCCCCGCTCGTCTTTTCCCCCCTCGTCTGCGCTTGCGCGTTAGACTCAGTCGCGTCACGTGACGAGAAGGAGGAGGGCGGCCATTTTGGTTACAAACACAAACAAGCGGCGAGAGGAGGACGGAGCTCCCCGCGAGAGAGAGAGAGAGAAGGAGAGAGAGAGAGAGAGAGAGACGCGGAACCGCGCCGAGGCCACGCCTCCTCCTCCTCCTCTTCCCCCTCCCTCCCCCAGCAAAAGGTAAGCCACGCCCCCGCCCGTTGCCATGGAAGCCCCCCTCCCGCCGTGCCCGCTCCCTCGGGGCCACGCCCACCCGCTCCGTCGCCTAGGAGACCCCTCCCCCCGCCCTCCTCGGCTCCCTCGCCGGCCCCGCCCCCTCGCGTTAGGGCAGGCGGCGCTGCGGCGGCGGAAGTCCCGCCTCCCCACTTCCGCTTCCTGCCCCTCCTTTCTCTGGCGCTGAGGAGACCCCGCTCCTCGCCCCTTCCCTCCTCGCCTGGGGCCAGTGGCCGTGCGGGTGGGCCTCCGCTCCGGTAAGGGGGCCTCGCCAGGCCGCGCGCATGGGATGTGCTGGATAGAGCGGGCCTGGGCCAACTGCCTCCCTCCAGGCCTTTGGGACTCCAACTCCCACAATTCGGGACAGGCTCAGGCCTTTTCCTCTCCCCCCTCAGCAGCCTCAGGCCTTTTTATTTTCTTCCTCAGCAGCCTCAGGCCTTTTCCTTCCCCCCCCCAGCAGCCTCAGGACGTTTCCTTTTACTCCTCAGCAGCCTCAAGCCCTTTTCTTTTCCTCTTCTGCAGCCTCAGCCCCTTTCCATTCCCCCCTCAGCAGCCTCAGGCCCTTCCCTTTTCCTCAGCCTCTTTTTCCTCCTCAGCAGCCTCAGGCATTTTACTTTCCGACAGCCTCAGGCCTTTTCCTCAGCAGCCTCAGGCTCTTTCCTTTTCCTCCTTAGCAGCATCAGGCCCTTTTCTTTCTTCTTTTTTTTACCTCAGCAGCCTCAGCCCCTTTCCTTTTCCTCCTCAGCAGCCTAAGGACTTTTACTTTTAACAGCCTCAGGCCCTTCCCTTTTCCTCAGCCTCAGGCTCTTTTCTTTTCCTCCTCAGCAGCCTCAGGCCCTTTCCTTTTTTTTTTTTTTACCTCAGCAGCCTCAGGCCCTTTCCTTTTTTTTTTTTACCTCAGCAGCCTCAGGCCCTTTCCTTTTTTTACCTCAGCAGCCTCAGGCACTTTCCTTTTCCTCTACAGCAGCCTCAGGCTTTTTACTTTTCATCAGCAGCCACAGGCCTTTTCCATTTCCTCCTCAGCAGCCTCAGACCTTTCCTTTTCCTCAGGCCCTTTCCTTTTCCTCCTCAGGAGCCTCGGGCCTTTTCCTCAGCAGCCTCAGGCCCTTTCCTTTTCCTCCTCAGCAGCCTCATATCTTTTACTTTTCCTCCTCAGTAGCCTCACGGCCTTTCCTTTTCCTCCTCAGGAGCCTCAGGAGTTTTCCTTTTCCTTCTCAGCAGCCTCAGGCCTTTCCCTTTTACTCCTCAGCAGCCTCGGGCCTTTTATTTTTCAGCAGACTCAGGCCTTTTCCTCAGCAGTCTCAGTGCCTTTCGTTTCCTCCTTAGCAGCCTCAGGCCCTTTCCTTTTTTCTTTTTTTTTTACCTCAACAGCCTCAGGTCCTTTCCTTTTCCCTCTCAGCAGCCTCAGGCCTTTTACTTTTCATCAGCAGGCACAGGCCCTTTCCATTTGCTCCTCAGGGCTCTGCCTTTTCCTCAGCCTCAGGGCCTTTCCTTTTCCCCCTCAGCAGCCTCAGGGCCTTTCCTTTTCCTCTTCAGCAGCCTCAGGCGATTTCTGGCCCTTCCCTTTCCTCCTCAGCAGCCTCACGGACTTTCCTTTTCCTCCTCAGCCTCATTCCACATTACAAGGCCTGAGTTGGAAGAGACTCTAAGCCAGGCCTGGACAAACTTGCACCCTCCAGGTGTTTTGGACTTCCATAAGTGGCTCAGTGGGAAAAGGAAGTGGCCTGAGGCTGTTAGGAATTGTGGGAGTTGGGAGTCCAAAAGAGCTGGAGGGAGAAAGTTTGCCCAAGCTGCTCTGTGGTCTGATTCCACCTCCACATTTGGAAGAACCTCCTGGCAGTTGAAGTTCTGCAGAATCTCTTTCTCTGGAGGGTTTTAAGCATAGGCTGCATGACCATCTGTCGGGAGGGCTCGGGCGGTGTAGGGATCTCTCCCGGTTCTCGGATCCTGCCCTTCTTGCTTACACCCATTGCAATTCCCTGGACAGCTGGCCCCAGTTAAGATCCAGAAATCTTGTTCTTAAGCACTTTACAATGTTTATCCAAATCCTTGATGATAAATCGCTCTTATCCTCATTGCTGCTATATGATATTTGCCCTTTACCCATTAGTTCTATCATTAGCTCTTTCCTTTAATGTTGTGGCACCATCCTTGACAAGACATTGAACTTTGCTTTTGGTTGTTTGGTTTTGATGTTTGTTTTATATACTGCTTAATGTTGTTGTTTTGTTGACATGCATTTTAATGTGTTATGTTTTAACTGTTTTGTTGGGCTTGGCCCCATGTAAGTTCCCCCTAGTCCATTTGGGGAGATTGAGGCAGGGTATAAAAATAAAGTTATTATTATGGCACAGTGAGAGTAGTTGTCGAATACATTTTAATAATATATATAATATAATAAAATAACTTTATATCCCGTCCTATGTCCCTGAAGGGACTCAGGGCCTTTGTGTACCTGTACTGTTTCTGCAATGTTGATGTGTTTTCATTTATTCTGTATCCCTCCTTGAGACACGAGGAGAGGTGGGTAATAAATAAAATAATAATAATTAGTAGTAGTGTTATTACGTTCCTCCAGTGTCCCTTGTTCTGGTTGCATCTACACCAGGCTTGCACAGTCTTTGGTCCTCCAGGTGTTTGGATCTCCAATAATAATAATAATAATAATAATAATAATAATATATCTGTAGCCCGCCCTATCTCCCCAAGGGGACTCAGGGCGGCTTCCAGCATAATAAAGGCAAATATTCAATGTTGGTATAAAACAGAAGTAAAAATACAAATAATACAGTACATTACACAATGAATTAAAGCAAGTAATTTTGTATAATGCTGGATTGTGAATTGTTTTATACTGTGTCTTGAATTTTGTGGTTCCTATGTTGTACGCCGCTGTGAGTTGCCCCTGGGCTGAGAACAGCGGCATATAAGCAAAGTTAATAAATAAATAAATAAATAAATAAATTTAAATAGTTATCATTAAATGACCATAATTTAAGGTGTTAAAAGACAGCTAAGGTAGAATGTCAAATCCGTTCCCTTTCTGACCCATTTATCAGCGTTGTAAGCTCTATTCCTCCCTCTCGTTATATGCTTGAAAGCATAAGAATGTTTTAAGTCACTTTTTAAAAGGGAGTGAGGAGTGGGCCATTTTGTCCAATGATCAGGAGTTCTGGGAGCTGAAGTCCAAATCTCCTAACCGGGAGGCCTGCTCTACGCTGTAGGATCCATACAGGATTATTGTTGTTGTTATTGTTATTATTATTACATTTATTTATACCCCGCTTTATCTCCCCCGAAGGGGACTCAAAGCGACTTAACATGAAACGTTAGCACAGCATTTAAAATATATACAAATATTAAAACAGGATTAAACATAAACAGTATTAAAAGATTCACAGTTAAAACCATTCAAAGCTAAGAGGATGACCCCAGTTATGGCCTTCAATTAGCCCTAGGGTGCTTGACATCACTTTCACTGCTATGGTTCAATGCTTTGGAATTCTGTGACTTGTAGTTTGGTGAGGCATCCATCCTCTTTGGCAGAGAAGGCCTTGCAAAACTACACCTTACTTCGGGATGAATTGGGTTCCCAGTGCCAGGTTTGGAAGGAGGATGGAGTGCACTTCTGATGGGGAGGGTAAAAGTGTTGTTACTCTGTAGTGCTGTTTGGTTTTGGATCATACTCTTGCCAAAAGACTTGTAGTTCTTGATAGGCCTGTGGTCTCCTTTTCCTTTTGTTTGTTAATGTTATTTTGAGCCTCTTTGATGAATTAATGACACTCTTTGAAGATTTCTAATGTAGCTTTTGGACAGGCATTGTTTTCATATATACACACATGTAATATCCACGATTGTAGTAAATTATGATGCATTGACTACGCTTACAGCTTCGATTGACTGTTTTGTGTGCCTGGAGAAAGTTTGCTGGATGTTCTAGAGCAGTGTTTCTCAACCTGGGGGTCGGGACCCCGGGGGGGGGGGTCGCGAGGGGGTATCAGAGGGGTCGCTAAAGACCATCAGAATTTTCTGTTGGTCATGAGGGTTCTGTCTGGGAAGTTTGGCCCAATTCTATCATTGTTGAGATTCAGAATGCTCTTTGATTGTAGGTGAACTATAAATCCCAGCAACTACAACTCCCAAATGTCAAGGTTTATTTTCCTGAAACTCCCACAGTCATCACATCTGGGCATATTGAGTATTTGTGCTAAGTTTGATCCAGATCCATCATTGTTTGAGTCCACAATGCTCTCTGGATGTAGGTGAATTACAACTCCCAAAATCAAGGTCAATGCCCACCAAACCCTTCCAGTATTTTCTGTTGGCTATGGAAATTCTGTTTGCCAAGTTTGGTTCAATTCCATCATTGGTGGAGTTCAGAGTGCTCTTTGATTGTAGGTGAACTATAAATCCCAGCAACTACAACTCCCAAATGACAAAATCAATTCCCCCTACAACCCCCACCAGTATTCAGACTTGGGCGTATCAGGTATTTGTTGAATATTTGTGCCAAATTTGGTCCAGTGAATGAAAATACATCAACATATCCGATAGTTATATTACAATAATGTTATGGTTGGGGGGTCACCATAACCTGAGGAACTGTATTAAGGGGTCGTGGCATTAGGAAGGTTGAGAACCACTGTTCTAGGGAGGTACAGCTTCTTAAACACCGGGTCCTGACCCCGAATGTGGTCCCCTTCACTTACTGTTTTGTTTGGGTGGGGGTCACAAAAAATTGGGCCACAGTAAAAGGTTTCTGAATGCAATCCATTTACACAAATCTCTTATCAACAAAGTGCAGTGTTTACAGTAGACTCTGCTGAAAATCCTTCAGGAAAGGAAAGGTCAGATTGAGTTGCTATGAGTTTTCCGGATTGTATAGCCATACAGCCTGGAAAACTCACAGCAACCCAGTGATTCCGACCATGAAAGCCTTCAACAACACAAAGGTCAGATAGTTTGGC